TGCCCTTATAACATCTCAAATCCCTGCGTCCTTTTGTCGTTCAAGTCGTGATGGGACTTCCATGTAACTAAAATTGTTGACAATTTTGGGATAATTATCAGTCATTTCAAAAATTGCACCTCCTTGGAGCCAAATTGGTAAATTCTTCTTGGCTCTTGAAAGGGCCAAATTGAGAAAAAGCTCCAAAGTAGAATTCATTTGGGCCAATTCATATTTTGGAGGGGTCGAATTGGTACCTGTGCGACCCGTCTTAGCTTAAATAGTCTAAAACGAGCCTCGAGAGGCCAAACTGGTCCACAAGACATTGAGGCCAATTTGGCATTTGGGGTCAATTTGGCTCTCTTCATTTTATAGTGTATACCACTCCCCTCCTCCAAAGTGGCTGCATGTATTCAATACAGGGCCTTGTTAAAAGTCCTTACTGTTTAATGCCTCAAGGCTTGCTGGTTTGGCAGTCAGTGGAAAAGTAATAAAAGAAATACATTCAGTTGGATTTAAATGATTATAATTAAGATTTAAATATTAATTCTAACTCAGCACTGACTCGGGATACAAGAAACAAGACCTTGATTGCATTATGTTAGGTGGCTTGATGCAGATGAGCCAAGGAAGCTTTTTTTTTGGTACATTAAAAGGCCCCATATTCTGTAGTTGTAAGTCATAGAGTGAAATTCAGTACTTTAACTATATTCAATAGACCTTACTGCAGTCTTGAAGACTTGACCTTGCAGTATTTGTATGAGAATCCGGTGTCAAATAATTTTTGTGAAAATCCTGTTATGATAAAAATATCAGTAATATTGCAAACTTAAGCAACAGTTGTACACGTTATATAGGAAATCGAGATATCAGATCAAGGTATCAGCTTATTAATATAGAGTTAAATTTTAGGTGAAGGCTTTTCTAGTTATTAATTTGACTATTTACTGTACGTTGTAAAACTACAAAGCAAAACACTAAATTTAGGTAGTAAAACACTAAAATACTTACTCACCTTTCGGTCCCAAAACGTTTTTCACTTAACTGCTTTAAAACTTTGAGCTTGTGTTTACCACACGCCGATGTTTCCCGTATTCTCCAGTGTGACGACATGAACTAGTGGCAAAAAAGGTCACGCAATCAAGGAAGGGCTTGGGCACAAATTCAGTAGGCTTGGCTACTGAGTTGAGCCTGGTTTCTAAGCTCCTTCAGAAAGTGATCCCAAAAAAATTTTCGCCATCGGGAGTCCATGCCGGTCTGTCGTTACCTTTATCCTCAAGAAGGAATGCACCGCCTGCACAACAGCATAGCTTCAATTAACAACGACTATCTCTTTACCGCCGGCCTTCTACAAGAAGCTACAAGATTCCACCAAAGTGGACTTGTTGGCGGAATTAGGGAAAGATTTTTTCTTTGGATATCAGCCAGTAGAGCTCAGCAGCGACAAAAGCTTTCCAACATTTTGACAGGCTAAGTGGTTGAAAAGGAATGTTTTAAAGTTGAGCACGGGCCAACAGAAGTTTGTGTTCGGAAGAGTTGTAACTTATTTACACTTTAAACACCCTTCAAACAAAGACTGAAAGTAACTTGGAAGATCTTGGAATTATTTAATTCCAAGTTTTTATTGTTTTAATTTTCGACTTAGTTTTTCGAAAGTACGCTATATATATGCCTTTAAGCCAAAAATAGGGTCGAAAAGTAATAGTTAAGTCGCCAAGTTAATTAATAACAGTTATTCAACTAACAACTGACAAATGCCTGAAATAAAACTGAGAACTGATAAATGGCCGAAATTTTAACTAAAAATTGTACCCCTACCAGACCCTCTTAACGAGATAAACAACAACATTGAAGTGGATTCATTTTCCAATTTTCGGGTTTTTCGGGTAAATTTACAATTCAGCGTCCGAATTCAAATGTATACTTTGCTTTAGGTTATCGGAAAAGATTATGAGCGATTTTGGTATAGAGTAAGAAGAGGACTATGCTCGATTGACGTCGCGCTTTCAAAACTAGATTTCAACGTCCACGCGGTTTGCACCTGCATTTGTAAACAGTGCCACGGTCGTCGAAAATAGTTGGATCCTCATGGACTCCACAGATTCCTTTAAGAGATAGTTACGCTGCAAGCGTGAAGAAAGACCGACTTTTTCTCAGTCGAAAGAATCGCTGCAAGAAACAACTAGCCATGTTTAATTTAGCTTAGTTGCATTCGCAAAGGTGGACATTCCTCTTGGCCCAAGTACATTAAGATATAGTGCACGTGGTCTCCTGTGAGAGCTTTAACGGGTGGCACAAGAAATGTAGTGACCACTTTCTTCTAGAGAGGAGAGGCGATCGATCACTGGCGCTGCTTGATATAGTAAAGATTTTCCATAGCCAATTGGTAACGAAACGGAGACATCGTTTCCTTTGAAAAACATATCTATTGCTTTCTGCTGTTCTTCTTGAAATGTCTCTTTCCCAAAATTTGCGTAAATTTGCCCTAAAACCTTATCGTAAATCGCTGTTGTTTGAAAGTTGACCGTGAAAACATTTTGTTTATCATCTCGTTCGTTAGTATGAAAATAAATTACCAGCTCGAACCAATCACAAACGACGAAAGAATCGGAAAAAGGGGTTAACCAATAAAAAATCATTACATATTTTCTTGCAAAAGAGTAACGTCACTGAACGCGATTAGTGTCAGGTTTGCGTAGACGTTGCCTCGCCTCCGTTTCACCTTAGCGGGGTGAGGGTACGGCTACACGTAGGCTACATGCTTTGTATCAAAGCTCTTCTCTTGGGTAAGGAGCTCTTGTTCTGTGTCAATTTATAAATGACAATTTGAATATCCTAATGTTGCAGATCCATCCATCTCTATAATATCCGGGTTTACATTTACAGTTGTAGGATCCTTAAATATTGGTACAAACAGCATCAACACTGTGTGTGTGTGTTTGAGGCGTACTTGTCCTAGTCTGAAACACAACAGGAGTCTCTTCTAATTAAAACTTCTGAACAAAATAAAGAGACTCTTGAGGCCCGTATGCCGACTGTAATTTCCCTTTTCGCCTATTCAAATTATAATGGCACCTTTGCTAACGGTAATTTCCCTTTTGGCTGATTCAGTTGGGGCTGATGTCGAAATTATCAATACCGAGACGTAAATTTTACTAACATATTTATCTCGTTTGAGGTGGATTTGCTCCTCTAGGAAACTTTCAAGGTAAAATTTGCGTACATGTATGTATACCATTTCCGTTTTCAGACCTGATTTATGTACACATCTTGATTATAGAGCAAAGAAAACTGGAGTAGTTGAAGTCCTATTCTTTATAATTGAGTTTTTTAAAACTAAACAAGTAAGCAGCATTCTTCGGATAGTAGTTGTAATACTTCTTCATTCTCTGACGCGTTTCGTCAAACTGTCCGATAGTCTTCTTCTCAGGTTAATTAAGGCTTTAGAGACAAGTGTTCAACCCAACATGCAATTTTAGATATCTTAAGCAAAATTCAAACTAATATTGATGCAAAGTTATTCTCTTGTGGTATTTTTATTGACCTAAAAAAGGCTTTTGATACGGTGGATCACTCAATCTTACTGCACAAATTATATCATTATGGAGTCAGAGGAATAATTAATAACTGGTTCTCTTCGTACTTGTTGAACAGGAACCAGTCGACTCAAATTGGTTCAACCGTGTCGAATATAGAAGAGATAGTTTGTGGTGTCCCTCAAGGGTCTGTACTTGGCCCCCTTCTCTTTTTGATTTATGTTAACGACATTTACCGTTGCTCCCAGATTTTTGAGTTTTACCTATTTGCTGACGATACTAACTTGCTTTATTCAAACAAAGATCTTAAGGATCTTGAAAAAGTTGTTAATGATGAACTCGCAAAAGTGGGTGACTGGTTGGACGCAAACAAACTTTCTCTTAACACTAGTAAATCTAACTTTGTTATTTTCCATCCTTACCAACGCAAATTGGACTACATAGTTCACTTGAAAATTTATAATAACGATCTTAAAAAAAGTGTATCTCTAGAACAAAAAACTTTTGTGAAATATCTAGGAATTCTGATAGATAATAACCTCTCTTGGAAGTATCATATTGATTATATCTCATCTAAAGTTAGTAAAGGAATTGGTATAATTGCCAGGTTAAGACATCTTGTCCCATTTGCCACACTTCTTAACATCTACCGCTCCTTAATTGAACCCTATATCTCTTATGGTCTTATTGCCTGGGGACAAGCTGCTAACACTCATTTAAATAAGGTTCTCATTTTACAAAAACGTGCTCTACGACTAATGTATTTTGCGGATAGCAAATCTCATAGTGCCCCGCTATTTGTTAACTCCAGAATCTTACCAATAACTATGCTCTATTCTCATTTGGTTTCCTCTTTGATGCATGACATTGATAATCACCGTGCCCCGTCTAATATTTCTATGCTCTTTATCCACTCCGAGCAGGTTCATCACCATTTCACAAGATTCTCAGCAACGGCTAATCTGTACGTTAAAGCGTCTAGAACTAACCAACTTTTATTTTCTTTTGCTAGAATAGGTGTAAGATTGTGGAATAGCATCCCAAAAGAACTTCGTATTAAAAACAGAACCCCGTTTAAGCGTGAACTTAAAAATCGCCTGTTAAAACTTTTGGAAATTGAGGAGATGAATGTTGATATACGCTGCTCTGAAATTTGTAAATATCTCTTGATAAAGTAACTCTTCGTTTAAGTCTTGTTTCAATTGTATTATATATCTTGATAACTTTGCAATTGATTATTTAATTATTCAACGGACTTAATTTTATTTTATTTTATTTAACAATTGTATTTTTATTAATGATTATCTTTGTTTAATTGTATCGGTATGTGATCCTTAGCAGAGACAGCACTTGTTTTAGAAGGGTGGCCCGCCTAGAATAGCTTGCTAATTGCGGGTCACCTAGGACTGTGATAATATTGTATTGCTAACAAATAAAAATTGAATTGAATTGAATTGAATTGAAGGCTTGGGTCAAAAATGATTTTCGCCTCCAGTGCCCCCCCAGCAAGGTTCGCGGAATTCGCGTGGACTGCGCTAGTAACCATAGTTACTTGGAATCAAGATCGTGTAGTTCGTGAACGGCACCGCCATTTTGAAGTGCCGGCTTTGCATTGGTTTTTCCCATCTTCGCTGGTGAATCCGACAATCTAGAGGAAGACATCAAAGGAAGGTAATAACATTTTCTTTGCTATCTTCATTTCCTCAAAAAATGGCATGATATCGCTATCTTAAAGCCAAAGAGAACCCTTTTGAACCTACGAAGACTTCTAAACACCGCTCTCAACATGTTCATTGATTTCACTGCAAATACAATGCAACATGAATTTATAATATAGCGCTCATTTCTAGAGCTCAATAGCGTTTTACAATGTTTGTAACTTTTGCATAGAAAAAAGTACTATGTTTTGTAACAAATGCATAGAGAAAAGTTTCATTGTGGATATACCATTCAATTTTGAAATTAGATTTAGCTTGATAAATCCTCTATCACATCATGATGTGTAAACTTAGGGTATTTATCAAAATTTAGGCTTTTGAATGCTTTGGAAACAATTTCTCCAAGAAGCAGATGAATTTACTGACAAACGTAATCCCCCAAAGCAGTTGTTAGGTAAGTTTAATTGCTGACATGTAAGATGCAGATTGTCTTGTCATAAATTGTCCCTTGAAAACTAAGAGGAAAAAAGCTGTACTAATGTGCGTTAGTTTATTCCGAGGTCCCTTACTGAATTGCTATAAATATATGATAATAATAATTTTAATTACTCACACAGAAAACCAGCCAGCCCTTGCAGATTCCAAAGGGAATCTACTTGATTAAAACCAGTTTTATTTACTGTTATCCCTATTTGTTTTCTTGAAGAGGTCCATCCAGTTATTCCACACAACTAATTTATTACAAGCATGTTAATGGTGTTATTTATGAGGCATTTTTTTGGTTTTTAAGTCATGTTATATCAGTTTTAATTATAGTCAACAGTTTGGTTTTTAAGTTTTGACCGGTAATAATTGCAACAATCATTGTCAATGATGGACTTGTAATTGATATATGTGTCTATTTGAATGTAAATATTCTACCCACTACACCAGTGGAGTATCTTTTAATTCAAATGCATCACAAAAGTTCTGATACATGCATATGATTCTGACCATAGCCTTACCTCTTTGTTGATAAAACATGATTAATTACCAGTGCTTACTGTTGCCCCAAGTGGGGCACTGTTTTTTTTTGCGACAAGAGCAAACACAAACTGGTATAAGATGTGTCATCTTCTCAGCCCTACTCATAAAAGATGTGCCATCTTAAGAGCAGGATAGGTTTCCCTTGTTACAAAGTCAGAAAGGAAAATTTTAAAATTATATTTCTTGCTTTTTTTTGGTGCTCTTCCAAGTCAATATTCCTGTTAGAAGGCTATGGTGGCCTAACTGGTTAAAACTCTGGTTTATAATTTTAAGTTTGATCTGCCAGTTGCTTGCCTAAATTCAATTTCATAGATCAATAATTGGCAGGAATTGGGAAATAAATCGGTACATGTATGTCATCTAGCAGCGATGTAAAATTATAGACACGAGTATGACCTATGAAGTAATTTGTACCTGATGGACCCTAGAGCACCTTATCTGTGCATTATTAAAAATGTCCCTCTAACATTCATTCACAATTTGTAAAGCAGAAGTACAAAATTAGTTTAGACCAAGAGCACACATAAACTTGCTTAAGACATGCACATACATTGTAATTTTAACCTTGCAAAGCCCAATAAAAAGACTCCTGCCGTGACATGGCTAGGGTCACTTTACCTGATTAGAGTGTTAATTATTACTTTCTTAAGCAGAGGTTTCATTAAGATTTTGAGGTGATGGGAAATGTACAAGGAAGCAGGCAAAATATGTTTTGATTCTGATTTATGTCAGTCACAACATGCAGGAGAAATTATGTTCCCAGCCAGTCAATTTGCCCAGTGTCAGGCCCGTGAAACCCCTGCTTAAGCTTATAGTATTCAGTGAGATATTATGGAAGCCAGTGTTGCCATAATGCCTGTTGTTGTTGGTCTTCTTACAGGGCTGGCATCCAAACATTCTTGAGCCATGGAAACCAAAAGTGGAATGTTTTGCTTAACACCTACTTTGAACAGAATTTTACCAAGGGAAAAAATATCACTGGCTTCATTAATTCTTTGCAGGAGGAAAGGAGCTGTCACATGCTTTTCCAAAATTGATGATGTAGCCATGTTTGTTACTCACAAGAAAATTATTAGCCTTCAAATCACAGTGAAGAAAGCCTTTTGTATGAATATGTGAAAGGGCTTCTGTCAAATCATGTGAAATAATTAACCAGTCATTTGTTATGAGTGAGCTTTGCACATTCTGTATTGTTGCACTCTTTTTCTGACAAGACAATAGTTTGCTTATTGTTACAGATGTATTGTCTTCCCCTTTAATCTCCATTATTAAGGGAATGGGCTGCTTTTGAAGCTGCACACCTATTATGGTTGGGATATTTTTATGTGCGAGTGCCTGCATAATGTGAGCCTCCTTCATTATCTCTGTGGTGTCCTGCATCAGAGACTGTTTTTCTACAACCTTTATATCAAATCATGTGTACTGTCTCAGAAGGCATTGACCATAGGATCCTTCTCCCAGTATTATATTCTCTCCATTGGTTTGAAGAAGTTCAGTATGATTGATTAAGTTTACAGTGGATTATTTGGTACTTGCATTCCTTTTAAAAAACTGGAAAATGAAGGCAAATATATTATAGAGGGTGTGCTTAAATAAATGCTAGATTGCAACACAAGTAAAGGTGAAGATTGTTGATCTCATTGTTTGGCATGCAAATTACTGTAAAGTAACTAGAAACATTACTCCTCCTCCAGATGGACTAGACATTAGCATTGGATTTTATTTTTTTCTTTGCCTGCTCTCCCTCGACGCTGCCGCTTTTTCTCAATTGCGTCTTTCTTTTTTTGGAGCTGAAGTTCCTTCACTTTTGTTTGTGCTTCAGCAAAGCTTATTTTAAATATTTTCTCAAAGTGGCCATTCCCTTTTGAATAAATGTGTTTTACAGCAGTTTTAATGGCTTTTTGCGTTGGTTTCACTTTACTTTGTGTCTTCACCCCACTTTCAATAAGGGCCTCTTTTAAAAGTTTTCGGGTTTTGAAAGTTTCTCCACTAGGGAAAAAATTATGGATGGCATAATAGTGCACTTGACAACCTCCACAATTTGACAATGTGTGCTGTTTCTTCTGCGCTGTATTAAGAGCTTTCCAGTTTACCATTGAAAACGTATCTTGGTACTTGGCCCTGGCTTTTGAGTTCATCTTTCGGAAAGAGCTGTAAATTGCTTTGGATTTCTTGACGTAGGTGGAACGTTCGACCGCAAAGACTTCCTGACTGTCACCCTCGAACGCTGAAAGATAGTTCTTCCACTTTTCACTAGGGTTAGTTTCAACCGAAGCACTTCCAACCTTACGAAAGCTCTCAATTACAGCAACTCTTGCAAATCCACAATTAAAAATGACAGACATTTTCGTTTCACACGAATACACTTAGCTCGTTATCGAGTAGTACCGTTGTTAGGGAACAAAACCTTGAAGAGTTTCAAGGAATCAGTGCGATAACTTTCAAGTTTTGCGCCAAAATTGTAATTCAGTCTCGTTATATGATACTACTTGGGATAAAATTACAAACGTTCTCTATTCTTACCGCCCAAATTTGCAATTGTGTTTTATTAGAACTGTCAAAGGCGATCTAACCCTGGATTTACAGAGATGCAATCGACCTCAGAAAACGAGAAAAAGAAATAAATATCATCAAAAGTATACAAAGTTCGCCTGTGTTACTTCTGAGATTGCTCCAATTAGTATTTGGTAAATTATTGCTTCTGAACACTCGCGTGACTCGCGTGTCAAAATGGCGGACACTAAGTTGAATTACGTGACTGCGAGTTTCAAAATTCCCACCTCTTAAACAGTTTTAATTTGTCTTTTTTCCAAATAAATAGGAACCTGTGGGATTACTTTCGTTGATAGCGGTTGGAACCAGGTAAAGGCTAAGATGTTTTCGGGCGAAGACCATGATAGAGGAAGCAGCTTCGCAGAGACAAAACTTGATTTAATCTGCCTAGCACATCTCTCTTTTTTTTGGCAACCATTCCAAGTGGGAAAACAATGAAAAACGTCTCAAATATTCATAGCGATAACTGCATTTTTATTTGCCATGTGTTTAGTGGTGGGAATTTGCTCAAGAAAGCAACCGATCAATTTGGCGCCTAAATTAACTGTTTTTGGCTGTTGAGAGTATCATATTACGCTGCCACAATTCAGTCCGAGAGAGATGGTAGTGATACACATTTCTGCCAAGTATGAGAAAAATCCCTCGCAAAATAGCTAAGTTACTCTCAATTTTGTGAAAATATGGGTTAAAGACAGGGTGACCCAGGCCTTAATTAACCTGAGTTCAGCGAGTTTTATCTGTTAACACTAAACGCCTGTATTTATAGACTAAATATCCGGCAGTGAAAAATATTCACTGAATTTCACATAAATTCTCCTCCAAACGTAAAGAGTATTTGATGTTTGTTTGGATGAAAAGCGCTCACTGATACCGTGGGGATTTAGAGCGTCCATTTGGAAGGTACATTTTTGTGCTAGTGTTTTGCGGCTTTCCGAAGTGCCTAGATGTAGGGAAAAGCGTCGTCGCCATATTCCCACCAATAGGGTAGCTCCATTTTCTGCATATAAACCCACACACAACCCACAATTCCTTTAATCGCACTGACGAAGGGCTAACGCTCGAAACGTCAGCCTTCAAACTCTGTACAGCGGCCAATTTACGTTTCAACTCCGTTGTTAACACTAAATGACCTATTGTAGACCTTGTTTTGCTACTGGGCATTTAGCCATTGCGACAACAATATTGTTACATCATTTTAGAGGTTTACGTTTCCAGTGATCGCAAAACGTTCGCTCAGGTGGATTTCAAGATCTCTTGCAGACACTGGTCATCGACTTTATAGAGATTAATTACAGATAATTACTACCTTTTATGTCTTCTTGGCCCTAGGTTCCCTGTAAATAGCCGCGGAAAAGGGCCAGACTAATCATTTCTTACGGATTGAAGATATGCTTCACATTTAGCAAGTAGTTCCATAGGAAGAGAAATATTCGTTTGCTACGTTTGGTACCAATTTGAGTAACACGAGTAGAAAGGTCCTTGCCAAACGTTCAAACATGTACAGTTACACGAAGAGTAAAAAAAAAGGGGGCAAAAAAGATGCAGGAAAACAAGACTTAAGTAAAACCAATCAAAACAAGATTTCAGAGAGTGATTACTCAGCCTAAGCCTGAAGGGAAGGACCCCCCATTTTCTTTTTCTTTTTTTCTTTGGGGGGGTGGAGAATGAGGATAGGGACCCCCTATCCTTATTTCAAATTTAAGTCCCTATGTGATAATCAATTCCTAAGTGAAGTTTGACAAAAGTCTCAGTAAAGGTTCTTTTTCAGTAGAATAACCTTAAGAATCCTGAAGTGTAAATGTAAAAGAAAGAAGACAGGCTGTAGTTCAGCAGCTTTATTGAATATAATTGTATATGGTGTTGAACATCATTACATGTTAGTGAATTATGATGAGGAAGTCTTCTCTCTCTAATTACATTTTTTCCTTCTGAAGTAGCAATCATTTGTTGATCAACTGTAGTAAGATCATCCCAAAACAAAGACCATTTGCTTGTCCAAATGCCTTTAGCATCCTTAGGTATTAGGCTCATCAAATGAGGTAGTAACTAATTTTTCTATAACAGCTTAGTAAATTTTTTGTCAACGTTATAACGCTGAGTGAGAGATGTAGAAATCCATGTGAATAGCCCCTTTGATAACTGCTTATTTTTTCATTCACTTAAAGGCACTTGCTGAAAAACAAAGAAATTATTAAATAACAGTAATAAGCACACTGTAATTAACTTATAAATTTTTAGCATCTCACTAGAACATCTAATTGACCTATCTTCCATCCATAAAGTAACTTTGATCATTAGAAGGCATAAACATAATATTGACCATGATGACTGTCACTTGAAAATTGTTTCTTTATTGTGAAATGAATAGAGGCTTACACTTCAGTAATGTTACGTATTAAATTAACCAGTTGAAGAAGTTGAAGTACACAGCTTGTCATTTGTTGATGGCTCTGACACGCGAGATCCATTTGGATATTACATTTGCAGAGTGCAGTGTGGTTTAGTATTCAAGACTAAAGCAACTTGTAACAGGTGAGAATGATTATGCATTGTGGCCCTCAAATATCTGTTCTCATAGGGTTTACAGTTTATCAAAACAATTTCACTTTTCCTAAAGTAAAGCTATATGATTGATTAATACTGGAATTAAACTGTAAAATCAGTAAAACTGGCTGTGTCACAATCACCATCTCCTTTTTTGTCTCTGTAGACATGAAGAGCAGAAACATGGACAAAAGTTAGACATTGATGAGACTCCTTGCAGTGAAGATAAAGCTGACTACAAATTCAATTACCACAGTACCAAACTTGCATTTGGACTTGTTTTAGCTGAATTCCAGGATGCTGTAAAAGAAGGAGATGGTGACAGGCTCTTTGATGTCTACAGGCTTGCTCTACTTCTTTACAAGAACCATGGCCACTACAAGTATGCATATACGTGCTATTGTCCTTGGCAAAATGCATAGCTATCCTTCCCCCATTCCAAGCATTTCAGCCGAAGTGGAACCATACCTTCAATGTAAGTGGCCTTCCAGGTAGAAAATTTCCCTTGATTTGAAAAAAGAGCAGGACCTTCTTTATTTTATCTTGAGTTATTGGGTCTGCCGTCCCCGTAAGGGCGCCAACTGGAGTACCTTAAGCCCTGTTTACATGGAGGTGGGGGACCCCAGGTAAATGAGGTAACCCGCCTAGCCGTGGTCGAAAAATAAAACGCGTTTACATGCAATCTTACAACCCCGGGGTGCTGGGGTGCTGGGGTGCTGTTGCGCTTGCAATTAAGGAGTCTGAGCAGAGGCGTCCCAAGCTCACACCTCGAATAAGACGAAAGATTAATTCTCGGACACATATGTATTTATTCATGAAAGCGTCACGCGTTGTGTTACGCGGCGTTTGGTTTCACGAGGAACCGCTGACTTTATATGTTATACGGAATAGTTTGGGAAACCAAATATGGTCGATTTACAACGCTAAATATTCAGAAATATGAACATTTTTTTAACACTCCTTGTATGTTCGTTGCGGTTTCTGGTGATTTCTGCCATGAGACGGCTAGGAAATGTAAAAAGTTTTCAAACACAAGTTTTGCTTTTGAGCTTTTTGCCATGAACGCGACCCCGGCTAGGCGGGTTACCACACCTTGACACGTTTACATGGCAAATTGTCACCCTGGCTGACAGGGTTGCCCTACCTGGCAGAACGGGCAACCAGCCTAGGCGGGTCACCCCACCTATCATGTAAATGTGATCAAAATAAAATAAGAAATTATATGGACAGGCAGACTACCCCACCTAGGCGGGTTACCTCACCTACCCGGGGTCTCCCACCTCCATGTAAACAGGCCTGTATGGGATTTGAACCCATAACCTCTGTGATACCGGTACAGCAGTATCGCAAAGGTCATGGGTTCAAATCCTGTACAGGCCTGAAAAAAAATTTTTTTTTCAGGTCCTATTTTCAACTACTCGTTGTAGTAGTGTTCTTAGCTGTGAGGATCTCTTAATTTCAAGTAATCAGTTCTTTACTCATTAATTACCCATGGATGACCCATTGATGTCATTGATCATTGATCAGTTATGTCTGGAATAGAGAGTTATGCCAAAAGAGTCGATTTTGTGCATGACATACATGTAATTAGAGGGTTGCCATGGAAGTGTCATTCATCATGGACACTCATTTGACATGTCAAAAATTCTGCAAAGGATGAATGAACAGCTAAAGACAGATTCAGCATTATAGCGAAAAACCTCTCCTCAAAATTTCCTTTGGAGGATGGGGGGGAGGGCATCCACCTCCGTCCTCCCCCCCCCCTCCATTGTGCCTTGTACTTCCGAGGTTTAATAGTATCAAGCTGACAACCAGCTACATGTAAAGTAACATTTTCATTTTTCAGAATGACTCATTTATGAGAAACAAATGACCATCACCACTTACCCACACAAAGGCCCTCCAGACTACAAGCATATGCAGTCTGTATCACCTTCCAACTCTGGCATGAGGATGTCTGACAGCTTTTCTTGAGATTAGCCATTTCAGCTTCATGGGAATCATTTACAATATTTACACTCTCCAGTAAGAGGTCCAAGAATGTTGTGTGCAATTGTTACATTCCTCTTGAATTCATCTGCTGCCTGCATTCTTGTAACTTCGTCTATTTTCACATGTAGATCAGTATTTAACGCAAAAAAAGCTGTATCATAGCTTTCTCCTCAGCATCTGTAAGTTCCATGTCTGGGTGGTATTTAAGAAACTTTTTCTCCAGAACAATCCTCCCTCTTTGGAATATTGTCTAGAGAGGAACACCTATCGCTATCTGTTCAAATCATAAAGGAAATTTATACAAAGTTAAAAATTAAATTGTGGTTTTTAAGAGGTGAATCTATCATGTATTTTACTTTATCATTTAACCACAAGTACATTGTTGGATAAATACAGTCCTACTCAGTGAAGTAAAAATTGAGAATGGAACAGGAGCAAACAATTTTGAAAGACATTTTTAAAGTGCTACTATGATCAAATTTGCAACTGTCCAATCTAAGCCATTTTAGCTAAGTTATGATGTCATATACTCAACCAAATAGATGACTGCAAGATATCTAAACCAATTTGTATCAGAAATGTTTG